AGATGAATTGCCTGCTTGGAATAAAATGTTTAGATAGATAGATAGATAGATAGATAGATAGATAGATAGAAAGAAATATATATACACACATATATACACAATTTATATAACCTGCCATTATTATTATTTTAAATAAATAACTCAGGATGGTTAACAAACACAACACTTTTTCTTTTGTCTTATTTTTCCCTACAATAACCCTGTGAGGTCAGTTGGGCTGACAGTGAGCCACTGACCCAACTCGGTTTTTATGTCTAGGATGGGAATAATACAGCATAACTAGATTTATACTGTAATAAAGAACAATAACACAAATAAAAACTCACAAAAAGTCAGTTACTTCCATTTTCATTGTTAAAATGGTGTTTATTTACAAGTCAAAGGAGTCTGAGGAATCACATATGTATACTAAATTCAAAAATGTTATAAGATTTAAGAACATGGTTATTTTGTTCAGATACATAATTATTACATTTAGTACAGTATCCCTATACCTTCTTTTTTAATTATAAATTTTGTGTTTTTATCAGTTCATTTTTCAATTGTGTTTTATCAATGTAAAGCATAGCACATTTAAAACAATGTTATCCTAATAGCTAGACAGTATAAAGTTTGTTTAATAGCACGTCCAACTAGGCTCACTTTATTTTAGCCTTTTAGTTAATGAGTCTGTATTAGAAAATTATTCAAAAATATGATTTGTGTGGCTTTCCAGTTGTTTTGCTTTCTCACTTTTCATTATAAATACTATTCAGGACAGAATATATTTTCCATTTATGTTTAAAGTCTATACACACCATGGTTTCTATATATATGTAAATAATATTATGTTCATTTTCCCCATTCATAGATTTTTTTTCTACTATGAATTTGAAGTCTTTTGTCCATGGGCATCAATATTAACTTTGCTATGCAATGCATTAATAACTTTTATTTTTACATAAAAAACAAGAAAAGGCAAATTACATTTCAGGTTGGATTTTAAAGTGATTTATTATTTATTTATTGATAAGAGTCTATACTATAAACAAAACCAGCTACAAAACAAAACAAAAGTATTTGACAAGGTTTTAGCACATCCTGTAAAATCAGTCATCAGATATATTCAAAGGGTGGCTAATAATTCTGGGACTTACATTCCCCAAACCTTTATATTAGAACATATTCATATTTAGTTGTTACTCTTCAATTTTATTTTTCAACTATTTTTTATGGATACAACATGCAAAACCACTTACAACATGCTGGCCAATTCATTTATATTATTAGCATAGAAGTATTGCATTTATTCAAGTCATGTAGGGTTTGGTATGTATTCGTAACAATTGGCCAGTCAGAATGCACGTAATCGGATGCTTAGAAACAGGCTCACATAAATTTAAGTGTCTCTTGTGGACTGCGTAGATATAAAACAAGTCCTTAGGAAGAAACTTTCTTCCAGTGGTTGCCATGTGTATGGAATCTTTATTTAAAGATCAATGGAGAAAGGACTTGATTATAGAACTCCACAGATGTCTATGGACATCACAGATTAATAATTTATTATCACATAAACTATTATGGATTAAATTTCACCAGATATATAGAATAAGTGCAGAGCCAACTTTTGAAAAATCAGGAGGTAAAAAGATGAGACAAGAGCTAGAAGTGACATATTCTTTCATTGATTAATTGAAGCTTTTGCCTAATCTGTGAGACACCACATTACATTTTCTAGTGAATTCCAGCTCAACTATTTAGTGATGAAATCTCTGTAACTGATCATCTTAAAGATAACCACTTTGAGATTAGTGAAATCTGCCAGAGAATTGAAACATCTGCCCCACTAGCTTGGGTATATTGCTACTTCTGATGTCATATTCGTGTCAACATCTAACAGTATTTTCACCATAGTGGTGGATAAATAAGTTATGATCCCGTGTTCAAGAGTCACTACTAAGGTAGGTCTCCACACAGTTACTTAATCTTAAACTCTCGACTCCGACAGCTATTTATTCTTCGTGTTCAAAAGAAAAAAAAATCACCATCGAGGTGCCATAATTCATCACCTATTTACATTTCGGGCCTGCTCCTTTATTAGCTGCTTAAAGGGCTCTAATTTAGTAAAACTAACGTCATCGTCGAGGCGCCCTTTCTCACGGGATGTTTAATTCGGAATCGCCCGCTAAAAATGCTATCAGAAGCTCCCCAAGCCAGGCCTATTCCGTCATTCCCGCGCTTCAGCCAATGAAAACAAGGCAATTCTCTTGTTCCCTTTCCCCTAATAATTCAGAAGTTGGGGAACTACGGACTTTGTGATTTCTGGACTTCAACTCCCAGAATTCCAAGGGCCCTACTTCCCCACCCCTCCCTAAGTCGACACCTTAAATTGGCCCGCCTACCATCCCAAAGCGCCGCCTTTAGATTTAGATACCGGAAGTGCCGCGTGAATCCCCTTTTCAAGCCTCTGCGGATAAATTTGGCTGTCTTCCGCTCCGGTTTAGTCGATGACGTGCTCTCTGCGTCCTTTTTAGCGGCTCTTGAGAGGTCTTAGACCAGTATAAAGGAAAGTGAAAGCTATTGCCCTGGAGAACTCCCAGAATTCCTCAGCCAGCTGAGAGTTGAAGTCCATAAATCTTAAAAGTTGAAGTCCACAAGTCTTAAAGTTGCCAAGGTTGGAGACCCCCTGTCGTAGAGGTCGACTCTTGGTGTTCCATGAAACTGACCACTGTAAAACGGGCTAAGTGCTTCAATTTAACCCACTTCTAATTCTAACCCGTTTTCTGCCTACCCCTACATTGTCCTATGAGAAATAAAATAATTACTGGCGTTAGAAGAGATGCTGTTCATTCCTCTATTAATTTTTATAGCGGGGAGATTTTTTTTAAAAAAAGATGAAAGTATCTTTCCTCTCCCTACATGTCTATGGAGATTCTCTGTCATTCCAGGTCATGGTTGTCCCAAAGATGCTCCCCCCCCCCAAGAGGCAACTGCACTTCCTTGTTTTTCTTTGAAGACGTTTCCCTTTTCATCCAAGAAGCTTCTTCAACTCTGACTGGACGGTGGGGAATGAAGGGATTTATACTGAATTATATTGAATGCAAATGACCAGCCATCTGCAAGGAATACAAATGCATTCCCCACCATCCAGTCAGAGCTGAAGAAGCTTTTTTATTTTTTTTAAAACACAAATAATACAAACAGTACATATACATCTGAATTTAAAAAAAGAAAGACAAAAGAAAAAGGAAAAAAACACATATTACAGTGCACCCCCACCTCCTGGACACCTTCCCCCCTAAATTTCTTAGATATACAATATATTCCAATTGTGCCCTTATACCCTCCAAAACAACATATATTTTTGAGTAGGTTTATTCCCTTTGCCTTCCACCAACACTGATTTTATAAAAAAACACCATATTTCATTATAATCTTTAATCATCCCTTTTTAAAGTTTAATTTCTGTTGTTAATTTATCATTTGTTGCCATACTCCAAATTACATTATACCACTCATTTCTTTGAACATCCCTGAAATTTCTTTGAAGAAGCTTTTTTGAATGAGGAGGAAACGTCTTCAAAGGGGAAAAAAATCAGAAAGTCCAGTTGCCTGTTGGGGGGAAAAAAAGCACCTTTGGGATTCCCCTCCCAATGGTGCCTCCATCAATTCCCTGAATCTTCCCGGGAGGAATAAATGGAGGAGTGGGAGAGAGAAGACAGGGCTCGCTCTCTTTCACTCCCAGAGAAAAAGACTCGGGCTGCTCTTCCAGTTTCCTATCTCTGCAACCCATCCAAGCTCTCGCCTCAGGACCGAGGAAGCGAGTGGGGGGCGGGGCTGAGCCTCACCGGGGAAAGGAGTGAAGGGGGCGGAGCGGAGCCTCCGTTCTGCAGGAAAGCCACGAGCTCGGCTGAGGGGCGCGTTGGGGGAGAGCCATCCCGCCCCCCCCCCGCCCTCGGACGGGTTTGCACCATGAGTTTCTTGATCGATTCCAGCATTATGGTCATCTCCCAGGTACCGGGCTTCTCCGTCCAGCCTCAGGCTAAGCTGAGGCGCGCAGCAGCAAAAGGCGGGAGAAGCCGGGCAGGAGGGACAGCTCTGCTTCCGTATAGAGGGGAAAAGCCCGGCCTTGCATGGGACAACCGGGAGTGGGATGACCAGTTTGGTTGCTTCCCTCTTCCTCCCTAGGCGAGCACGGCCCCTGTTTAAGTCCGGGCCTTAATCGCGGGGCGTGGGGAAAGTTCGGCTCTTCCTTTAGAAATCATTTTCTTTTAGAGGAGTTACCGCGCGTCAGAGGATTCAGGTGAATTAATAACCTGCCTGGAATTAATTTCTGCCTGACTGGGGTTGCACCTGCGAATGGGGCCTTGGAAAATGCGCGGAGGCCTGGAATCCTCTTAACTGGCTGGATTAGTGTGACGTGGTGAACCGTGATTAAGTGAGCCATGGGTGTACTCAATTTTGATAGATGGCTGTGGAGATTCTCAGTCATCCAGGCCATGGTTGTTCCAGAGGTGCTTACCACACAGATAAACCTCCAGGTAGCCTCAGTGATTCTCTAAAAGGATGGAAATGACCAGCTGTCTGCAAGGAGGAGAAATCCTTCCATCCCGCACCATCCAGTCGGAGCTGAAGAAGCTCCTTGGATGAGAAGTGAAAGGTCTTCAAGGAAAAACAAAGTCCAGTTGCCTCTTGGCAAAAAAGCACCCTTGGGTCAATTTAGAAGGGTTGGTTACAGGACATCTTAAGCCATTATTAACTGTAAAATCTGGGCTCACGAGTGATTATGTGCTCACGAGTGATTATGTGCCCTCAAATCGTTTTGGACTCCTAGCAACCACATAATTTTTTCTCTGAGATCATTTATGCCTAGGCAAGCCTTTATCAAGTCTTCCAATGGTGCACTCGTCACTAGTGTCACCAAGTCCACGCACCTAGGTGCTTGTCATCCTCTTCTCCGTCCTTCTATCTTTTCAAACATTTATGCCTTTTCTAGAAAATTAGAATGTTAGTAACTCAAGTAGAATAATTTGAGCCTGGTTGTATATGCCTATTGGCTAAGACATAGTTTAATGCATTGCGCAAGCAAGTTAAGTAGCAAACTATCCCATTTAATCCAGTTTGCTTTAATAAAAGTGATCTTTGGAACAGATGCTTGATATGCTTGTAATTTATCTGCTGCCCATAAAAAGTGAAAGCGGTTGAGCGACTGAACTTTCACTTTTGATGAAGGAAATAATCCAAGACCCCTGTTGAAGCAGGATTTTTGAAAATTTACACAATAATCAAAAGTATTGTCTTTCAATAAGCTCTTCAAATATGTATTCATAGACAACGTTTTCTAAATTACATACATAAATAAAAACCTTGCAAACCAAGATTTGCAAACCTTGGTTCAGCCTAAAACTTCTATACATAACCACATCTGGTTTATTGTAAAAAATGTGTGATAAATGCAGGGGCAGCAAAATATGTTTAAATGTTATTTGTAGGAATGGTTTAAGAGAGTGGCCCCCAATCTTTTGGGCACCAGGGTTCAGATCCATGCAGAGAGGTTTTTCGGTGAACTCGAGGGGTGTGGTTTTGTATGCTGTCTTTATCTGGCAGATAAGGCTTTGCTTGTTTGTGCGGCCTAGTGACTGTTCATGGACCGGCAGTTGGGGACCCCTGGTTTAAGACAAACATGTAGCAGAACATTGGTTAGTAACCCCCCCACCCCCCAGCATTCTATGTAATAGTTATTGAGATGAGATATTCTGTATCAAAGGTGAGCAGTTTGTTCATTCTTGGATTTGAAGGGCTGCCTTCCAAGAACTCTATTACGCATATATCATTTAATATAAATTTCAATTAAATTAATAAATGTAGTTTAATAAATTATGCACAATCCTAATACATTTACATTTAGATCTGTTGAAATATTAACAATTAGAATTGAGTAGCAGCAATTCTTAGAGAACTTTATGAATTACATACAAATGTTAATACAAGTGTTAATACCACTTTATAATGCCTTGGTAAGGCCACACTTGGAATACTGCATTCAGTTTTGGCCGCCATGATGTAGAAAAGATGTGGAGACTCTAGAAAGAGTCAAATTAATCAATGGAACAGCTTGCCTCCAGAAGTTGTGAATGCCCCAACACTGGAAGTCTTTGGATAGCCATTTGTCTGAAACAGTATAGGGTTTCCTGCCTAGCAGGGGTTGGACTAGAAGACTTCCAAGGTCCCTTCCAACTCTGCTATTGTATTATATTAAATTTTAGTAGGAACAGGATGGGATCGTGTGCTCTACACTGATGCAATTTAAGCCTGTAAAACTGTTTAGACATTTATCTCTCTCCCAAGGAGTCAGTATTAAACTTTACACTGATATCTTTCTTCAATAATTTTAAGATCATGAAACTCAAGATTTTGAATTCTTCAGAACAAAATCGATAAAGGAAAAAAAATCCCAAATACTGATTCTGTAAGATTTTGGGATAGTTAGATTTAAATGTCTTTCGAGGTCTGCTGGGATGAAGAAACAAAAGTCAAAGAATGATTAATTCTCCATTTTAGAAAATATGCAAGATATCTCCCATTTTTTGAGGAAAAAATCTGCATCCTAAGATCTCATTTCTTTAATAAATAAAAATATATGGATAACATTACATGGGGAGGGGGGCACAGCCACCAGAATTTCAGAAGAGGTTTGTAAATACTCCCAGGAATGTTCATCGTAACTGAACAGTCACTAAGAAGCTAATTGTAAATCAAGGATTACCTATATACTTAGCACTTAATATCTCTCTGCATGGTGCATTTTTTAAATTAAATTATTAAATTTAATATTCTCCAGGACATACAGAATGTAGCATTGTTGTAAAAAATCCAGCATCCATACTAGAATTGGAAATAGTTTCAAGAACCAAGATGGCTTTATGCAACTTTACTTTTTATAAACGCTATGCAAATAACAATGAGATATGAACCTTGTGTGAAATTTTGTTGTATTTTATATTTTTTATTTTGTTTGTTAAATATTTTTCATGACCCAGAGATATATTTATGCAGTCTCCACAAAACACTTAACTTTCCTCAGGTTCAGAATGGGCTTTTAAATAGCTACAAAATGTAGCTACATTTTGATACAATGATTGTTTTAGAATGCTTGTGGCTAAAGCAAATAATTCATTTATCTAACAAATACACACACACACACAAACAAACATGTTTCAGTTTATCAGGTTATCTTACCTTCATAACAACAAAAACAGCATCTTTCATACACTAGCTAATATGCTTTGAGATTTCCACATTTTGGAAATAGCATTCAAGCCATTACCTATTAGAAACATACAAAACTGATGGCAGAAAAAGACCGAGTGCTCTGTCCACTGTTTATTTGCTTTTTTGTTTTCTTTTTAATTTATATTTTATTTTTATAAAGTATATATTCCTATTATTTGCTTCTGCAGGTGCTGTTTTTTGGATTTGGATGGTTGTTCTTCATGCGCCGACTCTTCAAAGACTATGAGGTGAGAAATTTAAATTATAAATTAATAGCAGTTATCTGGGCAACATAGACATTAAAAGCCAATAGTGACAACAACAGTTAAACCGTTCAAATCAATAGTAAAAACAATGGGTTTTATTATAAGTTGGAATTTTTATGACTGGAAAAATAAATTCCATCTTACCATAAAAATAACATTAGCTGGAAGAGCCCAAATACCTAGGGGAACAGTTAGACTTTGTGCCATGCACAAGGCTAACAGCAACTGGACTATTACATGCCTTGTAAGAATGCATAAACTCTGTACTTGCCCAGAAGTAGACATTTAATAGAACAAGGCATTTGAGAATTGTTAAAAAATTAAAATAGATACGTTTAAGATCTTTAAAAATTCTGCCATATGAAAACAGTCATCAAGAGAAATTAATGCTAAAGAAATAAGTCTAAATCTTTTTTTCTTTTTGAACATAAAAATATTCATATTGGGAATATAAATACATTATTAGTGCAGATTTTATCTCAGCAAATACATGCTTAGCTATATCAGCCTGTATATAATTAATTTTGGGATAGTCTGATCTTTTATTTTTGTTATTAATTTCCATTACCTCCATAATAATTACATTAAAATGTTTATGTTTGCTTTATTACAGGTTCGGCAGTATGTTGTACAGGTTGTCTTCTCTGTAACCTTTGCTTTTTCATGCACCATGTTTGAACTTATCATTTTTGAGATTCTAGGCATCCTAAGCAGCAGGTAAGATGACACTAACATCCAGTGCATAACATAGCACTGAGATTTTAGTATAATTGATAGATTTGCTTGTTTATTTGTAGCTTCATGACAGTTTAATGTTTTCGTAGCTTTAAAACACAAGTGAGTATATACAATATTAATGTACAGTTGGGTGTTAAAAAAGGTAGAAAAATGATGGCTAGGCTGTTTTTTAATTTGTTTCTTTTTAAAAATATTTGCTGTTAAATACTGGCAACATTCCTAATGGCAAAGACACATTAAAGAAATTGCCACAAATGCTATAATATAAGTTATTGGTTTTCTGATCTAAAATTACTAAGCTTTCCAAGCAGCAAATGCCAAAATATATATGGTCCCCAAATGCACATAATTCTATTTGTATTTCAGTTCAGTGAAGACATATTATTCTCAATAATTTATGTATTATTTACTAAGGTATCTTTGCTTGTTAATGAACACTTGCCCTCTGAAGTGCATTGATGAAAATCTTTACATGCTTTTTTGAGTTTAAAGCTTAAAATGCATGCTTTTAGACAAATAACATATATCCAAAAATGTGTCTTCTCCTGAAATTGCACTAAAGGAAAACTATATAACTTTGATTTTTTAAAAAGTTGACTGATAGAAAAGAGATCAAATATAACTGTAGCAATAATTTACAGAATTTTGACAAGAACATTTAATGAATAACTTTGTTTACAGTCTACTACTGTGCATATTTCTAAAACTATATTTGATTATAACTGTAAATCTTTCAGATTATTTTATGCAGATACTATATGAAAATAGACAAAAAATAAAGCTAGAATTATTTTGTGATGATGATTAGTGATCAGTCCTTCTATTACTTTCAGCTCTCGGTATTTCCATTGGAAATTAAATCTTTGCGTGATTTTGCTTGTACTGGTATTCATGGTCCCCTTTTATATTGGTTACTTTGTTGTGAGCAACATTCGATTGTGTAAGTATCATGAATCTTGAAAATAAAAATTACACTGGCACTATAATGTTTAAATAATATGTTTCAATGCAATTAACATAAAATCTTAATTTTTTGTATCACTTTCAGTACACAGACAAAGACTTCTTTTTGCCTGTGTTGTCTGGCTAATATTTATGTATTTCTTCTGGAAACTGGGAGATCCATTTCCTATCCTTAGTCCAAAACATGGTAAGTTTTATTATTTCATTAACTTTAAATGCACATCTGACTTTAAATCTGTGCTGTTATAGATGGAAACTTCAGATGCTTTCTCTGTTGCTGTGACTGCCTTTTCAAACAGTATATATCCTAAAATTTATGGTCCTGACCCTGTTAGTTTTCCATAAGGCTTTGAAACTCTGACTCTCTTCCAATCATTGGGCTATGGTTGGATAAGAGCTTGGATAAGCTCTTCTTGCAAGGTACACAGTGGCTCAGGTGATTGAAATGATGGACAGGAGGTTAGCAAGCTGGTGTTCAAGACCCGAGAGCTCCTGTGGGGCAGGGTTAAGCTCTCGTCCTTCATTCCAGCTCCTACTGGGAATATGAAAGGAGCCCTCAACTGGGCGTGAGCTCCCGAAGCAGAATTTAAAATTTAAGTGTTTTAGTAGCACAGAACAAGCAAGATTGAGATTAAAATATTATCAGTACTGGGACCAACTCAGGTATTCAAAGAATTACAATTCAAAATTACATCATATAACTAGACATGTTTGCTACACTGTTACACCCAAATTGTAGATTCATACAACTTGCAAATTTCATATTTTGCCCAGAAGATAAGACTGCATATTCTTTGCTTGAGAATGAGGATTTTATCTCAAGTAAATCTGTTTTTGAAACATAGACAGTGGCATTGAATCTATATAAATAATATCTTTGCTCCAAGTAACCTGCAGACGTCACTGTTCCCTTGCTTGGATGATGAATTCTGTAGCCGATCTTATGAACTACTTCTGAACAAATGATTTAGAACAGAATTAGATTTGTCTTCCCAGATTTAAGGTCTCTGACTTCGAATGCCTTGACTTTATACATTATGAATACTTGAACTCCTAGCAAAGCAGGGGATCCTGTATCCAAATATGTTTATAAATGTGTTTCTTTATCTTTTCTTTGATTATCTACTGAATATATTTAGCAAATCCATGAAAAAAGGAATGAATTGAAGAATAGTTTCAATGATTCTTATTCATATAGACTCATTTTATTATTTAGAATTGAGGAGAACATAAAAGAGTATAATGGTAGTTATGTTCCCCATAATAACATATTATTCTACTTTCATTTCAAAATAGCATATATTTTTTTCTTATAGCCAAATAATTATGGGGTTATTTTATTCTGGAGTGCAAATTTAAATAGGAATAGTGTGATAGGCTATCTGAGCTTTTTTCCACACTACAACTGTACACTGATAATGTAGTTAACTGTATATAGCTATATAAAAATGTCACATGGAATCTGTAAAAAGGATTAAATACAGACATTGTGGAGTAAGTTTCACTTTCATATATGCCAATTGCCATTTGAGGTAACAAAGTTATCAATAAGCTTTACTCGGACTCAGTGAGATGTGCTATAATGAACTGAACTATATTGCTTTTTGCCAGTTTCCAAGTGCGGCTTACAAGGTATTGTGTCTCTTTCACTGATAATAAGATTAGAAGCCACAACAACCTGATTCTTTATATGCTTTCATTCAGTTTACTATGTATTTTAGTTTGGCATAAAACAAAAAGAAGCATTGTTTTTTTTTTTTTTGGAAAAGGTTTTTTACTTTTTAGTCTCATATACACATTTACAAGTATACATTCTCATAGTTATTATTCTTATCACATTTTAATACTTTTAAACATTCATTTTTCCATATAAAAAATAAAATATATGATTGGGATTGCTTTGCTTACCATTCCATACACCTATTTTGTTTTGCCACTACTCTACTTTCCTTTTCTCCCTCCCTTCCTTCTCCACTTTCTTCTTTCCTCCTCTCCTTTCCCTTTCCTTCTTCCTCTTCCTCTCCCCTACTCCTCTCTACTTCTTCCCCTTTATATTCTCTCTCCTCCTCTTCCTATCCCTCCCAATCTTCCTCTATTTTCCTCTTTCTTCTTTCCCTCTCCTTTCCTCTCTTCTCCTCTTAAAAAGAAGCATTGTTAACTAGGGAAAGTTAAACACTATTTGTGAGTACCGTATTTTCACGACCATAAGCCGCACTGAAAATCCTAAAATTTGATTAAAAACCGGCAGTGCGGCTTATAACCCGGTGCGGCTTATGGTCGTGAAAATACGGTACTCACAAATAGTGTTTAACTTTCCCTAGTTAACAATGCTTCTTTTTAAGAGGAGAAGAGAGGAAAGGAGAGGGAAAGAAGAAAGAGGAAAATAGAGGAAGATTGGG